GTTTTTTTTTTTAAACTTTTCTTTTTAAACCTCCTGTTTAACAGTTTTAATCAAGTGTAGTTTAAAAAAGACCTTTAAACTTTTTGTAAGTTTTTTAAGGCATAAAAGTTTAACTACATAAGAGTTCCTCTTACGGTCTTTTTGAACTTATGTAGTTAAAGAGGGCCTCTTAAGGTCTTTATCTAAGTAAACTCTAAAAAAACCCCTCAAGAACTGTATAGAGTTTTTAATCCAGAACTCTTCTATACTAGAATCTTAAACTCTAAAACTCTGTAAGGAGATTTTTGAAAACTGCTGTTTAAGCTCTAATTCATAGTTAAACAACTTGAACGTTTCTACAGTCCCTCTTAAGGTCTTTTTGTTTTGGAAAAGTGTTCAAGTTCTACACTTCTACAACAGTTCTAAACTCACTTTTTGTTTTGTAATAGTGTAGAACTTAAAGAGCTTCTACCTTAGTGTAGAAGCTTCTACTATTAGTGTAGAACCTCCTTAAGTTCTACACTTCTACAAAACAAAAAGTGAGTATATTAAGAACTATAAACAGTTCTAAACTTAATGTAGAAGTTCTTTTTAAACTTAGTGTAGAAGTGCCTTAAGGAGCTTCAAGTTCATTAATCTAGAAGTGTAGAAGTTCTTTAGAAGAACTTTTAGTTTGGAAGTTCTTTTAAAAAAAAAGTTCTACACTATTAGTGTAGAAGTGTAGAACTTAAAAACTTTTTAAAGTTCTTTAGTTCTTCAATTTAGAACTTCAGAAGTTCTAAAGTCCTTCACCTTCAATTTAGTTCTTTAGTTTTACTAAGTTCCTAAGAACTTTAAGTCTACAAGTAGTTCATAAGATAGTTCATAATAAGAACAGTGTTCACGAGCAGTGTTCCCCAGGGCTCAGTTTTGGGGCCGGTCTTGTTCAAGATCTTTATCGATGATCTGGACGAGGGCATCGAGTGCACCCTCAGTAAGTTTGCAGACGACACCAAGTCGGGCAGGAGTGTTGATCTGCTCGAGGGTAGGAAGGCTCTGCAGAGGGACCTGGACAGGCTGGATCGATGGGCCGAGGCCAACTGTATGAGGTTCAACAAGGCCAAGTGCCGGGTCCTGCACTTCGGCCACAACAACCCCATGCAGCGCTACAGGCTTGGGGAAGAGTGGCTGGAAAGCTGCCCAGCAGAGAAGGACCTGGGGGTGCTGGTTGACAGCCAGCTGA